TTTTTCGTGAGGGGTGCGGCTGTAACCAACCCAAGTTGAGATGTAATAGAACTTTTAATAGAACTTTAAGTCATCATCTTTTATATTTGTGTAGTAGTAGCTTGTAAAAATTGCGCAATTCAGTATTTTACTGCGATGTGATTTTAATAAACCAGTCTATCTATCTATCTGTCTATCTATCTATCTATCTATCTGCCTAGCTATCTATCTATCTATCTATCTATCTATCTATCTATCCTGTCAAGAATGAACATTTAAGTGACACAACTCATTAGGGAAAGGAGCATAAGAGGATTTTTTTTTTCATTAACCCTCTCACTCCCATTCACAACTCTCCTTACTGTCTGCTATACAATTCTTATTATGTTAGTTTGGAGAATTTAGTATTTGATGCAGCAATAATTCCCTCATTGATATTTTTCTCTATTCTCATCACTTGTCTGCTTGATATTGTATTGATAGGGTAATGAGAAATTCTGTCTTGGTCACTGATGGGAGTGAAAGGGTTAAGAAAATTGCCAGGTGAATTAAACTTTTAGTTTTATTAAAGATCTAACGGTCTTTTTCAATGATTAGATACCATATGTTGGTAAATGTCAGTGTTGCTGTTGTTTTCTTTTTTAAGAAGTGAAAAAGTTTTTGTTCTACATCAAAATACCTAGCTGGAAATAAAATTGAGGTCTCTTAACAATTTCCTTCTTGATTACCTCTCCGATTAATCGTTACTCCAATAACAAAGGGTGAGTTTTCGGAGCACACTTATCCATAGAGAACTTTCTTTTGTTTTTCAGTAAATCATGAAATCAAAAGACTGGTGCAATAACATGAGGGATCAAATATGATACAAAGGTTCAAGTGAAGCTGAACGCCGTTGATGTACAACAGATTTATAGTTACAGGGAATGTATAAACATTCATAGGACTAAGATGAGGTACAGAAATACATTTGGACAGGTGGTAGGAGTAATTAGGTAATTTTGGTCTTATCAACTGGGTTGCTAATGTAAATTGGCTGCCGGAAAGAGTTTAAAAGTTGACGTTTCAGTATATAAAACCAAATTACCTTCCCCTAGTGATCTTATTTCCACCGCAATTTGATAAGCAGTGCCATTCCCAGTTTCGTCCAATAAATCAAAACGTTCACAGAGCCTTTTAAACGGGGTTTGCATGATCATAGGCAACAAGGAGTCGAGTTCCAGCCATTTAAATGAAGTCTCTGAATATATGTTATGCAACTCTTTCTCGTGGTATACCCCGTATAATTTCATTTCTCAATTCTTATTTTTCTTGCCGGAATACACACTTTCCTCGAGACTCTTGTGTTCATTGATAGCTATTTCGAACAAGGATTAATCCTACACATAAGTTTGAGTATGAAGCGGTCTTCACGGTCCCAGCGGTATTGCGCTTGCATAACCGCTGTAGAGCAGTAGTGTCCTTATTAGCAATTAATCCAAGACAGAATTTCTGCTGACAATGCCAATACATTATCAAAATATCAACAAGTGGATTATTGGTTGATTGGATACCAAATTCTCCAAAGTAACATCATATGAATTGTTTGACAGACAGTAGGGAGAATACTAATGAGATCTCGGGAGTGGAAGGGTTAATAAATGACTT